ATCCAGTGATTAAGAGTGGCTTTGATTAATTGCTGACATTTGAACTTGCAGTGGGATAATAGTAAGCGGAGTTAACATTTACTAAGCACTTAGAGCAGGATAGACACCATTTTAAGCACTACACTTACCTCATTTAGTCCTCACAATAACTAAACAGATTATGTAATAATCCCCACTTTATAGATGTTGAAGCGAAGTTACAGAGAATTTAGCAAAGATCATACAGCCAGCCAGTGGCAGAACTTGAATTCACACCTTCTTCCTTGTGTTTCAACTACCTTAAACACTTGCTGCTCAGAATACAAGCTTCTTATCCAAGACAGTGTAAGTAAAGTACATGAGGGATACAGACTGTGATTCTTTTGGTTGGGAAGGAAGAAAACATCCTAGTGACTTATTATTAATGTTTAGTGAGATTGAATCATTGATGTACTTGTAGTAAATCTAAAGCAAACCACAAAATCTAGACCTTTCCTAAAGATTGTCAAAGGTCAATAAAACTGTGGGTTATTTACGGTGCAAAAGGAAACAATGTGCAGCAGAAATGGAGTAACGCCTATTAGACAAACAAAGCGAGAGGGCAATTTTCTTTAGAGAATCTCCTCAAAAATCTTTGAAGAGGAAGTCACACCGTCAGTACATTTTCATAAAAAGTATGCTTGGTGATAACATATGCTGAACACAACCGAAGGCAGTCCTTCAAGTCTAGACAGCCAAGCTGCACTACAGCAGAGACACTTGCTGTTTTAAATATCCTTTCAAAAAAGAAAAAAAAAAATCCATTTGTTTACCAAAATCTATTCACACTTGTGGAGAAGCTTCTTTCTTCACTTATCTGAATGTGACAATGAATCAAAGTATATTCTCTTCTGTTACCAGATGTGATAATGGAGAAGCTCAGATTCTCACCAGAGGCTAGCTAGAGGAAGATGTCTTTTCAGTGCTTTTGGAGAGGAAAGGCTAATTTTTCCAAGTAAAAATGCCTCCCTGAGGAGATGTGTTAATGAGGTCCAGAGCAATGCTTGACACTTGACTATGCTAATTATCTCAAGCCAACTAGCAAAAAGTTCTTTTTCAGGTGTCCTAGAGGTCACCCACATGAATTGTAATCTCTTCCCCACTTGCTATTTTCACAAAACACGGGGCTTTGTTCTTCCTGTTTGGCTGTTGTGAAGGCATTTAAATCTCATCTGACATGAAGTGCACAAATGGGAAAAGTGCGTTGAGACCACTAGCAGCAGATTGCTTGTTCTGGGTGGGTTCTGCAATACTTGTTGGGCAAAGATTAACTTGCAGTTACCAGATATGGCATCCATTAACATATGTTCTTGAGACACCAGACATCTTTTATTGAACTTGGGGAACAACAGAAACAAAAGGCAAACCTCTGGCCTCCTACAGCTTTCATTCTAGAATGGGGAAACAAAGTTACTTGGATAAGTACATGAAATACACAGTATGTGATCTGGTAAAAAAAAAATAAGAAAGGAGAAGAGGAAATGTTAGTAAATAGCACTGCAAAACACACTGGCAAACACCTTACTAAAAGATGACTCTATGAAGATCACAAGTGGTGAGGTAAAGAACCGTGTGAGTGTCTAGAGGAAAAGGGTTCTGAGTAAAGGAAAGATCACATACAAAGGCTTGGAGATGGAAGCAAACATGGCATGTTGAAAGAGGCAGTATGGTTGGAATAGAGTAATTAAGAAGTAAAGAGGTGTGTATGAGTGTGGAGGCAGAGGAAGATCATAAAATCATATAGGAACTTACAGGTCAGTGGAAGATTTGGGATTCTACCCTGAGTGATATGGCTAGCGGTATGTGGGGGATCTTAAGCAGATGACCGATATAATTATGATTTAAATTTTTAAAAGATCATTCTTAACTTCTTGGGAATAGAATGAAGTACAGAGAAGAATTAGTAGGCTATTGAAATAGTGAGAGGTGGTTAAATTTCTATTACATTTTATTTTTTTTATTTTTTTTTTAATTTTTTTTCAACGTTTTTATTTATTTTTGGGACAGAGAGAGACAGAGCATGAACGGGGGAGGGGCAGAGAGGGAGGGAGACACAGAATCGGAAACAGGCTCCAGGCTCCGAGCCATCAGCCCAGAGCCTGACGCGGGGCTCGAACTCACGGACCGCGAGATCGTGACCCGGCTGAAGTCGGACGCTTAACCGACTGCGCCACCCAGGCGCCCCATACATTTTAATTATAATCAAATCATGTTAAGATAGGGCCAACCAGACTTGCTGTCATGTTGGAAATGGGATAAAGGAAGAACTCAAGATGACCTCAGTGTTTTTGGGAAAAGCAACAGTATTGAATGCCAACTTCTGAGATAGCTAATATTGTAGAAGGGTATACTGGGAAAGGAATATCTGATTAATTTTGGACAACTAGAGTTTGTACAAGATTGGGTAGTAAATTGGGGATGTAAGTCTAGATCTAGAGATCAAATATGAAGGCATCACATAAAGATGTTGTTAAAGTCATGAGAGAGAATGGGGTCCAGGGGAGGGAGCATAAAGAGAAAAGAGATGGGACTCAGCTCTAGGACTCAGGATGAGGGTTCTCTACTAATTAAACATCAGAAAAAAAACAGAAAAAGAGACTGTGAAGAAGCAATCAAAGAAAAAAGGTCTGTGGTCCTAGAAACCAAGTGAAAAAGTGTTTTGCAAAGGAGGGAATATTCAACCATGTAAAATGCTGCTAGTAGACTATGAAGAGACTGAGGATTGAAATTGATGGCTACAGTTGACCTTAATAAAAATATGGGATATAATATTTTCCCAACTAAATCCTACACTCCTAGTGGCCACAAATAGGCAACTGAAACTGAGAGTTGAATCTCAGAGTTATTTTGTGCTTACTTTGCCTAACCTCCGAACATCATTTTTCATGTAATTTATATTTCAGTATATATCACAGGTGGCTTCTCAAGAAAGCCTACTTCTTCTCATTATTAACACATGGAACAAGACCAAAATAATAGGACCATAAATTTTTAGAAACAAATGTGATCTCAAAATTCATCTATTGGTCAATCTTATTACTTTACCTAATGAAAAAGATAGGCTGACACAGGGTAAATGATTCACCCAAAAGTGCAACAGAATCCACTACGCCTATATTTCAACTTATTGATCTTCCCCTCTACATGCATATTAATTTGGATTAATTTAACAAACTAGATTATAGGCTCTTTTAAGGCAGGCATGCTTTCTTATATCCATAGTGCCTAGCACAACAAAGAATGCATTTCAGAACCTTGCTGTGTTTCCCCTCCTCTGTCACTAGTCCCTGACAACCATTCTTCAGATTTTTTTCCCTATAGTTCTGCATTTTCTAGAATGTCTTATAATAGAAATCATACATATTATTATCTAGTGTTGTTTTGTGAGCAAATATATACCAAATTTAACTTAAAATGTTTGAAATAGATCTTTTACCTCCCACTACCACAATTTTGGTCTTAAGACATTCCTCAAACACCACTTCATAATCTCTTGCTGTGACCTCAGTATCTAGAAATTCTTTAGCTCCTTTGAATTTATTCAACCATTGATTCATGACTCATTATACATTCATTAATCAAGTACTTATTATCTTTACAATATTCACATTTTGCTGTTGTTATTTGTGCATATATTTGTGTGTCTATATATACATATATGTGCATATATGTGCACATATATATAATGTACATATGTGTGTGTGTGTGTGTGTGTGTGTGTGTGTATCTCCATACACACAAAGATTCCCACTTGGAACTGTCTATATTTCCTTATATTCTTCTTAATACTCAGCACAGTGCCAGTGACTGTAATAGTCCTATATTCAATAATTCATTTATTGAAAATGTGGCAGCAACATTAACCATCAAATCACAATGTTGATTCTCAGCAGTCCTAAATTTCAGTAGTAGCATTTGAATGTAAAATTAGTACACTTGAATAAAATCTACATTATCTTCTTTTTTCATTTAAAATCTCTTAGTAGCACAGACTTATATTTCCAGAGTTTTCTCTCCCATGTGCCTTTAAGCATATAAGATTAGATGTCTGGCCTTGCACCAGAAAGCAGGGCTGACAGGATATGAAATCCTGGGGATAACAGGGATCTAGCTATTTCTCTTTTAAGACATTTTTTTTAGCCAGAAACTGAAAAGGCAGATGAAACTGGGACAACCCAGTGACAAGAAAGAGAGGAAAGATCATGTCTTTTTCCACAAAAACATTTTAACTAAGATTCTGGCTTTAATATTAATATTTTTGGTTACAGTTAAGCTTTAAAGTTAATGAAATTCTCATTTATATGCTGATCTAGGGACATGAATACCAAGTTACAGATGGGATGGAAATTAGAAATAAAGAAAATTAAAGAAAAGAAAATGGAAAATATGCCCACAGAGTTGACCACATCTACACATATGCCCACATTCATGCCAGGGTAATATGAGAGAACCTGGATACTATTTGGATGTGAGTTTTTTGATGAAGTTCAATCCATTTATCATTGTGTGTGTGCGTGGGGGGGGCTTTTTTGTGGTATAACCTAAGAACTTTTTTTTTAACAAGAAGTAGTTATTCTTTTGTTTGCTTTGGAAAATTCTGAGTGACTTTTGAGTGACCTGTTTACTGCGTTAGGAAATATGCTGCTTTATTCTAGAGACCATAGAACAGAAGAGAGGAAAACAACAATAGCAAAGGAAGCGAAATTACAGTGTTTAGAATAAAAATGTATTTGATCCATTTTGGCCCCTAGACTGACTCTTAAAAGGCTACCCCTAGGCAGGATTGTAAACATATATAAAACATTAATACATTAAACATTAATACAAAAATTGGCATATTAAGAACACAGCGCATATAAGAGTATTGCTCTTTCCCTGCAGATGTTTGATTGACCTTGACTAAATGTCACGAAACTCACCTTCCTTCATAGTTAAGTATTGTTCCAACACTTACAACATAAGCTCTGGTCAAGTGTTAGCTACTGGTGCAGTTCTGCAGATAAAAGAAAAATTGTCTTGTAATACACTAAACATGGGAGATCCCTGGTTGAAGAAACAGCTGCTACTGCTGAGACAACTGATATAGTTGTACTTGTTTTTGTAGATTTCCAGAAATACAACTTGAGCAAAGCCAAGACAGAATGAAAACAAAAGAAGGAGGTGAATAATTCCCTGTCTATGGAGTCAGTATATTTTATTATTAGATGTTCATTCTCAGGCTACACTGGAAAATACTTGAAGCAAAGGGAGATCAGTTTTCTTTTCTTTTTACCCTTTTCTTTTCTTCCAGCGTGTATCTCATTAACATTAATAGAAACTGTGCCCACAAAAAGCCATTAACATTAATGGGAATTATGCATAGAAAAAGCCCTAGATTCATTTTTGGTCTTTTAAGGAGCTTATGTATTGCTGCCCATCCCAAAAACATAGGATGGGAAACTACTAATCACATTTTGTCTCATCTTTTTAAATTAGATATTTCGTTAAATTATATTTAATAAATCCTGAGTTGGAAACAGCACAAGGAAACTCAAGCTGCAATAATATTTACTCTCCCAATAAGCCAAGAGCTTTCACAAACTATGTATCTTACTGAAAGTCACTTGGCAAGTTATATGACCATGATTCTCACGAGCATCCTCTTTGTGCTAGCAATTAGGCTGTCTGCCAGGAGTTGGAATGATTAGCAGTAAATATAAATTTAATAGTTCTGCTTTGCAGTTCCCCAGTCACTCCTGGTCCCTCCAACCACTGGGATGATAATGGGAATCAGAGCCTATCAACTGAACATATGACAATAACTGAATCTGAACTAAAACATGGGGGACCCCTAAAGGGACAAGGTAAAGTGAAAAACAACAATGCATTTTTTATTTAATACCCACTTCACCTTTGTACCAAACATTGCCCTCATCAAAAACAAAAAGAGCAAAATTTAAAAGCATTATTAAATCGTAAATGACCTAGAAATTTTCAAAATCCTGCCTGACATGGTGTGGAATTTTTTGCCCCTTGAAATGGCGTGATGAAAAATGTTTTGATTTTGAATATAGTTCTGCCTATCTACTTGACTTACTCAGAGTTGGGCTTTCTGAGATTTACCAGTATCTTCTCAGCTTCTTTGATATCATCATCAAGGTTCCATAGAAAACTAGCAATAGGTTACTGTTTTAATATGTCTTCTTTTCTAGATACCTTACTAGACTTCTTATCATTCATCTGTCAATATAAAAGATACAAAAACTGGAAGACAGCAAAGACCAGGAAGTCTTAGGACGGTGCTGTAGAACTGCAATGAAATAAATAAATATGAAAGCTTTTATGCTTCTTTGTTTTTATGCTACTTCAATCATAGTAAAATATTCTCTCACATTTTCTTCTGGGTATAATAAAGAGCAGATAAGGTAAGAAGCAAAATTAAATTGGTCAGGAGAAAAAAGCAGTTTTAAGGTTGGCCTGATGGCAAAGGACTTTTAAACAGTTCCCAAGGAGCACCGCGCAAAGATGAACCTAGTAAAAGGAACTTCCCTTACTTCACTCCCTTGGGTCTTTCATTCTTCATTCTTATCCTTTCATCATAGATTTCCACATGTAAAATGGCTGAAAGAGGGGTTATCTTGGTAACAGAAAAAAAATAAGATACATGACACCTTGATCAAATATTTATAAGGTGCCATGTTAAGCAGAGAGATCTTTGAGAACTGGGATGTTTGTCTTACTTGATGTCGCCTGGCATATGATGGAAGCTATAGTTAAGAAAACATATCTGAGAAGATGTGAGGTTGGTGGTACCATGGCAAGTCATAGAAATGTGGGAAAATAAAAAGAGAAAGACAGTGAGTCATAAGGACATCTTTCTTCTCCTGCATCCAGCTTTTTCTTGAATCCATTAGCCAATACATTTGCTCTGATGCTTCAGCCAGGTTGAGTTAAAATTTCCCCCATTTTGCATTAAAAAGAATCTTAGCTAATACAATAACATCAGGAAGCATGTGGGCAGAAGCTTGACCATCTCACTGCCTTTTGGCAATGAAAGGCAGGATTTAAACGACAAATATTTATACAGATGGAGTTCCAAGATGTGGATGATTTGCCTCTTAGGAACATAAAGTAGGAGTGAAATTACTCTCATTTTGCTTTCTGCATGCATTTTTGATGCTCAAAAAGAATACCATGGACAACACGAATTTAAATCCAAATACTCCTAATAAACACACAGTTTAAAAAAACAAATACACTTATCATGAATAGCAAACCAAACTGAAGCAAATTAATCCTCAAGGTGGTAAAACTCAAAGAAAACCTCATGTTTTTGATGATGTCTTTGTTGATGGCACAGAAAGCCAAAGAAAGGAAATTATTCTATTTGAAAACCTCAGTTTTACAATATTTATTTGAAAACTAAAGCAGTTTGTCTTGAAGTCCTACTTATATAAAACTAGAGGGAAGTAAAGTCAGCTTTCTTTGCTTAAAGTTCCTATCACCTCTGCTTAAACTGAATAATTGGATACAGTTCTGACTAGTCCAAATGCATACTCTCCTAAAGTTGAACATAATTTAGTGAAGCAAAGATGGTAAAGTTTACTGCCTTGGCAGATTTCTACTGGAATATAACTAAAAGGGTAGTTTTTCCCACAGAGAAAATAGATTAGTAGAAAATTAAAGTCAATTTTATATAGAAATTTTGTATTAAAATAAAATAATGGTCAGATACTCAGAAAGGGTGGAGAACTAACATGTTAAAGAAGAAAATTATTTTGCTTGAACAATTTATTTGCTAAGTTTCATGAACCATGCTCCATGTGTCATAATAAAAAACTAAATTAATGATTCAAACATACAGAGACATTGGGATGAAATGTGAAAATCAAGTTGATGGACCAATCTGCTTTCTTAAAAAAATAAAATAACAGAGGCACCTGGTCTGGCTCAGTCGGTGGAGGATGTGACGCCAGGTGGTGAATTTGAGCCCCACATTGTGTATAGAGATTACTTGAAAATAAAAATCTTTAAAAATAAAAAAATAAAATGTAAAAAAAAAAAGTCTTTATAGGCTTACCATGAAAAAATAAGAGAGGGCCTATTTTGGGCCACATTAGGATTATGTACTGTAGCTACTCAAGTATTTAGCCACCCTATAAACAGTTCAAATAAAAGCCAATAAAAATATTCGGTGTACCTGAGTGGCTCAGATGGTTGAGCACCCAACTTCAGCTAAAGGTCATGATCTCACTGCTTGTGAGTTTGAACCCCACGTTGGGCTCTGTGCTGACAGCTCAGGGCCTGGAGCCTACTTTGGATTCTGTGTCTCCCTCTCTCTCTTCCCATCCCCTGTTCACGCTCTGTTTCTCTCTCTCTCAAAAGTAAACAAACATTTTCAAAAATTAAGAAAAAAAACATTGCCCACTTTATTTGACTTAAATATGTCTTTATTGGTCCATATTAAGAGAAGCTTATTCCTTCCTGCAACTATTTTTGAGACATAACTTGGACACCTCTGAAACCCATTTTAATTCTGTAAGATTCTAGAATTATTTGGATGTAAATATTCAATGGAGTAAAATTAGTGGAGATTTTCAAAAATGTGTTTCTCAGTTTGGGTTGAAAAACTGTAAGCATATTCACTGTAAATCTTTAAGAGAATGGTATTAATGTAGCTCCTTCCTAACTTCGTTAATCATTAACACTTTTGTCCTGGAGCATCCTGAGGGGCTAGAGTTTCAGGGAGGATCCCTTTGACTATCACTGACAAACAAACCTTACTTCTGAGTTTATGATTTTGGATAATGAATTAGTGTTTTCTTTGGTAAATGTGTATCTTCAAGACGTAACCAGTCATGCAATCACTAGCCAAGCCCAATGTTGAAATAGTCACTACTTCCCAGTTTAGGTTTGGGTGTCATGAAGATGGGAGTGACCCTCCTCGAGGACAGAAACCTTGGCAATGTACATCTCTATGATTCCCTAAAGTGCTCTGCACAGAATTGACACTAAGCTCAATAAATGTTTTTTCAATAAAGGAAGAAAGGCTCTGTTGCCACTTACAGTGCAGAAGAGTTTTCATCTTCAAAGCCCTTTATTCACATTAATTCAGCTATTTACATTTTGCTGATGGGTAAAGCCTGAAGAGGCTAAATGGGCTGTTAAAGGCCAGAGAGAGTAAAACCCTGCCTGTCATGAATTAAAAATTTGCAATTACTGATTTCTACTCCCATGCCCAAGGCTTTATTCAGGGGGGAGAAAAAAGGACAAACATCTAACAAAGGCCTGGTAGATATTGGTTAGTCTACTGTTAGGATAAGTCAATAGTAGTTAAAGAAATAAATGGTCCCAACAGCTCTATCGAACAGGTATGAAGAAAAAGTTCGATTTGTGGTGGTTTTGAGCATGTGCGTTTTGATACACATAGGGATGCAGAATTGCCTATTCCCATCTGCAGTTCTAAAACAACTTCCAGCTGCCATGCGTTGTTTACACAGGAATTGAAATACATTTGACCTAAACTTTATTTTGCTCTTGCCAAAGTGTGCTAATTGTATAGATCCCAGGGCGGTGGGAACATCATAATTTCAAAACAGACATTAAGGCATTGAAAAATCCATGGAAGTGAACTTAAAGTACACGTGGAGATGGTCAAGTGTGTACAGTTATGCTACTTCATATGTTTCTTCATGAGCTAGTTCACATCCTAAACTCTTGCCTCCTTAAAATATCTTATTTTGCTGTGAACTTCAGGACAAAAAAAAAAAAAAAAGACTTCTTGGTCATATATTGCTTTAGTTCTCAGTTGTGTTTCCTATATTCCTTGGAGACCTTGACTTTCTCAGAGTAGCTTCCTAGAAATAAAAAGTGATGCAAAAACCTAGCGTCTATAGATCCTGTAAGAGAGTATGGAGAGAAGTCCAGTGAGACAAAAAGTCAGGGAAGTTCTAAACCTCAGGATTTATGGGCTCTTCTTCCTTGCTGTCTACTTCTATCTATCCTGCCTGCTGAGATCTATGCAATTTAAGCCTTAAGGAATGGCTACCTTTTACTCTCAAAGTAACACTTAATGGAACAAAACAGAACATATTTCCACCTAGCTGATGACATTTTGCTGTGTGCCTAACATTATACTTGGTTTGGAAGTTGATATCTTTTTTTTATTTTTTTAAAGTTTTTTTTTTTTCAACTTTTATTTATTTTTTGGGGGGACAGAGAGAGACAGAGCATGAATGGGGGAGGGGCAGAGAGAGAGGGAGACACAGAATCGGAAACAGGCTCCAGGCTCTGAGCCATCAGCCCAGAGCCTGACGCGGGGCTCGAACTCACGGACCGCGAGATCGTGACCTGGCTGAAGTCGGACGCTTAACCGACTGCGCCACCCAGGCGCCCCGGAAGTTGATATCTTAAGGAGAGGACAGGGGTAGTACCAGGGAGGTAGTGAGGATATTGCTAATCAGGACCAAGAGTATAAGGACTGATCTAAGACAAATATATTTGTCAGGTGTCAGATGCAAGCAGCAAAGAATGCTGCCTTATGAAGTTGGATATAATAAATCTCCATGCAGCTGGCTTAAGATTGGACTGGCAGGTTGAAGATGTAGGGGAAACACCTGAGGCAAGCTGTTGTAACAGGGCAGGACTGACATCCACAGGAACCCTTTGTTCTTAGGTTATATATGGATTGGGAATGGGTCTCTGTACAATCGACAACAAGGAGGTTGTTGACTAGTGGGCAATCTAGATTGCAGAAAAGATCAAAAGAAAGTTAAGCATGAAAATTTGTTAGATCAGAACAACTACTAAAAATCCTCCAGGGGAATTAATTGTGTTAATAACTTGGGTGGAGTAGATATGGCACACCACTACACCAATAGTCTTCACCAGCCTACAGGGTGCTATATGGACTCTTTTCCAGGTGCACAAGGATCTGTTAAAATCCTAATAATTTTTAGATTCTGATCTGGAGCGACAATTCAGGAAAAAGTTAATAAGTCAGTTGGTGCCCTGGAAAAGAAAGTTAAATTAAAGCCATGGGCAAGGAAGAAGGAAGATCTCTGTTTTGGGCCAGGTAAAGAAAGGCTTTCTCATGGGGGAGACCTTATAACCACATAAACGCTCAAGAGGTCATAGACTTCCAGAGCCGGAAGTGTCTTCGTTATCACCTGAAAAAAAATTTGCTATTTGCAGCTATGGAAACTGAAGCTTTGAGGAATTATTTTTCCAAATCACACATCTCACTGGCAAAGCCAAGACTTGACAACACTGTTTTGCTTATGTCTTGAACTCCTCTTTATTTTGGAAAACTTCAATGAAGCAGAACACCTAATAAGAGTTA